GCATGCTGGTCGAGAGGGCTCTGGGTTCATCAAGGTCCCAGAGGAGAAGGAGGAGAGTGCACCGTCACTTGGCAAGCGCAGAAGGTCACGGGGGAGCTTTTGTGGTTGTCTGGCAAGACTAGACCAGACATTGCTTGGGCAGTGATGAGAATGTCTCAGAATGCGGTCAAAAAGCCTCAAGGGACTTTGGAGTTGGGGGAGTCGGTGCTTTCGTATCTCCGGTCTACGATGGACTTTGGTCTTCATTACCCTGTTGGTGTGCCTGTTGATGCAGATCCTGATCTTGCCAGAAGGGTACCGCGGAAGAATGGAACCGTGGAAGTACTGGTGGATGCCTCGTTTTCACCAGGTGACAGCCATAGTGTCTCAGGAACAGTCATCCTTTTGGCCGGCTGCCCAGTGCAATGGGAGAGCAGACGTCAAAGTCTCATGGCTTTGTCCACCGCGGAGGCAGAACTCACGGCGTTGGTGGAGGGGCTGCAAACCGGGAGGTCGGTCAGATCTTTAGTTCAACTTCTGCTGCCGGAGGTGGACCTCGAGCTCTACAATGACAACAGGGCAGCCGTGGTACTGGCATCGGGCGCCGGAAGAGGATGGAGAACACGTCACTTGAGGATCAGGGCCAGCTGCTTGGCTGAAGCATTGAAGATGGCGAGCTCACTCTCAGCCACAGGGTGGGAACCTCATTGTGGGCAGATGCGCTCACCAAAGCCCTTCCGATGCAATCCTTGGACAGGTTCTGCTGAGGAATCTTTTTGCACAGGGAGGTGGAGAAGAAGGAGACCCAATCCCATGTTCTTTCGGCTGAGGAGGGTGTCAGAGTCTCAAGATGCATGGCCATGATGCTAGCAGGTGCTTCCCTATTACCTCAAGGAGCTGCCAGTGAGGTATGCGAGAAAGGTGAAGAGATCCGTCCTACCGGTGCTTCGTTGTTTAGGGATATTGGTTGGCTTGTGTTGCTCGCTGGCCTCGTTTGCCTGCTGCACCTGATGAAGGATCTTGGTTTGGAGATTGTGAGGAGGCTTGTAGCCAGGAAGGAATGTCTCAAGGTGAAGTTGCTGGATGAGGCCGCGACCTTGCCTTCGAAGGGCTCACCTGGGGCTGCAGGTTGGGATGTTTCCACCTCAATGAACGTCCAGATTGCTCCAGGTGAGAGGAAGTTGGTTTCCACTGGTTTGGCTTTGGAGATTCCCCGAGGGTGCTATGGAAGACTGGCATCTCGTAGCTCTCTGGCTGTCAGAGGAGTGGATGTTACGGGAGGGGTCATTGATGCAGACTACCGCGGGGAGATTAAGATCATGCTTGTGAACCAAGGGAACCAGGAGATTTCGTTCGAGGTGGGTGATCGCATTGCTCAAGTGGTCCTAGAGAAGATTTCAGATGTGTCTGTCATGGAGTCCCATGAACTGTCCAATACTCGTCGTGGAGCGGGAGGTTTTGGTAGCTCAGGGGTGGCCATCCGAAGTCTTCGAACCACTGGAACCCACCCAGAACCGGAAGAAAGTCCTCATGAAAGTGAACCTCCAGTACAAGAGCGGGAACTTCATGATCGAGGAGCTCGAGTACCTGAAGGGAGGGATGGACTTTGCCTGGCTCTTCTCGGAGAAGGTGATGAGCATTCTTGTGGTCAAACCGTCAAATGGCACGACCCATGAGTGTGTCTCGAGATTCCGTGATGGAGTTGTGACGGTGAAGATCTTTCGACATGGAGGATGGCGAAAGAAGCGCTTCGATAGTGATCTGGCTATGCCCGTGACTGCTACTGGTTTGTCTTCCAGGGTCGTGACGGTGGGGTGGCTGGATGATGGGCGGATGATCCTTCGCTCAGATGGTCGGAAGGGAAGCCACGGGATGCACTACCTGCGACAGAGGTGGTTCGGATATAGCATCCTGGTTCGCTCAGATGAACCGCTTGCTGGCAGCGCGTCAGGAGGCAGTGGCTGGTGCTAACCTTCCTCATGAAAAAGTGGTGCTGAGTTCAAGAGTTTTGGTGACATGGCTTCAGTGCGTGTGGGGCTGAGCTGCGGGAAGTGGAAAGGAGCTTGCTGGCTTGCCTTTGATTCGCTGGGGAATATGGTTGGGCCTTAGTTTAGCTTTGCACCTTAGATCCTGTTGCTCGATGTCACGCATGTTCACTGAAAGTGAAGAGGGCTTGAGCTTGGAATTTTCAATGTGTTTCTTTCAGGTGTGAAAAGAGCACTGATGGCTTTTGCAAGGGGTTTCATAATCCCAAGCCTAGCGTGGGGGGGAGAGCAGAAACCCTACCACATGTCGTTCGAGCTTGTCATTTGAGCTTGATTTGTGAAGTTGTTGAGGGTGTGGACGAACTTGAAGCTCTTTTCGATTCGAGCGAGAAAAGAACTCACTGGGCGAGTTTGGTTGTTACAATTCTAATTAAATTCTTATTGTTACTAGTAGTAAGGCACTTGTTACTAGTAGCAAACATTGTTACTACTAGTAAGGCACTTGTTACTACTAGCATGGCACTTGTTACTAGTAGCTTCCTTCTCTTGTTCGCCTTTTCGACTTCACACTGTTTGGATTCTCCGATATTCGAAGGGGTAGGCCCTGAAGCTGGCAGTGAATGTAGGGTTAGGTAAGCAATGGTCAGCAATGGTAAGCAAGTAAGACTAAGTAAGACTAAGTAAGATAGTAGGTTGGAGGCCCTCATGGCGGGGGAAGCTTCCTTGAAGAATCTTCGAAATTTGGATAGCTTAAGCTTAGCTTAGCTGCTTTGCCATTTTGGAAGCTTCTTCGAAACCCCCCACTTCTCCAAAGCTCTCGTCACAAAATGCCTTTCCATGGTTAGAGTTTCAGGTTGGTCCGAGAGGCTGTTTGAAGGGCAGGGCCACCTTCGTGAATGGCCTGCAAAAATAGGCGACAGTAAGACTAAATGTTTGAATGTAGAGCAAACCTCTCTCTTGAAGAACGGCTTCAAAGAATAGTGGAGTCCAAGCAAATCGTTAATGGCCTTCACTCGACGGACGTAGCTTCGCCCATCATAACCGAGGAAGATCACCACCGACCTCTTGGGTTTGGACGAAGAAAAAAGCCACAAATTACTCTGTGGCTTTGCATATCAGAGCACTAAATCAGTCAAGTAGCCCCACTTCTGCGGGGTGCTTCACAAACCTTAGGAAAATCCTAAGCAAAGGAAAATCCTAAGGCAAACTCTCCAAACTCCAAGGCACACCAGAATGCTCCAAGGCGGAAATCTCATTGCTCTCTGCTCCTGAGCTGACAAGTCAACTTCGCATAGAAGCAGCACTTGTCGCACAGCTCATTTTTCCGGGGCTCAGAGGTAAATACCATCTGTAGATCAAAGAAAAGCCAGGCCAAAGTGAGCAACGTAGCCAAGCACCATCCAACCATGCCTTGGCAAAGTAAGTGCCTTCATCGTTGCTTGGTAGGTTTGGAGACCAATTTCAGCTCAGAGTTGTTCAAGCAAACTCAAACAAGGGACAGTGCCACTTACCGCTGTCAAAGATATACCCAGCCAAGCCCAAGCAAATCGACTCGTCTGTCAAGGCGGATCTGGCGCACACACGGGAAGATGTCTCAAGCGAATGGATAACCAGCAGCTGGGTCCTCATGAAGTTCTCATGAGCTAGCCTCCATACTGCCATGGAAGCAAGCAACCACGCGAAACCCTGAACTTTGACCTGAGCTGGTGAGAAAGTGGTCAGCTCGTGGGTAATGTAATTCTTACACGCTTATGCGTTCACTTTCAGCCCAGGCTCATCTTCTCTCAGCCAGGAGAGCCACACAGAGGTATCTGACAGGCTTTCGTCGATTTCATCCTGTTCACAAACAGCTCAGAGTCAGAGTCTATAAAGACTCAGCCGCTCAAAGTGCACAAGTTGACTTGAAGCGACCTCTTCATGCGGAAGCCACGAGTCAGTCTGCTGAGAGACATCTGCTGCCATGTGGTTGCACTAGTCAAAGAAGTCCAGTTTGATGCTTGAACACTTTTGGATCCTTGCTGAACTAAGTGAAAAAATGCAATGTAGAGTATGTTTTTAGATGCATGACAGCAAGTCCGCAAGACGTCACCGTCACTCAGACTTCTTTGTTTTGAGTGCCGAGCAGTGCTGACTAGATCTGATGTTTTCAAATCTTCTAGATGTTGTCAAATCTGCCAAGCAAGAGAGCTGAAACTGTGAAGCAAGTGAAACTGAAACTCCATGAAACCCCAAGCAGAAAATTCGTGGGACCCTCAGCATGGAGGATTTGGGATCTATGATCAAGAAACTACCACAGTATACGAAAGTCTACCAGGTTCTGCCTTTGCAAAGACATAAAAATACGTGACCAGTTGATCACCGGACTGAACAGGACATCTGCCCCACCGATTCCAAAGGATGTCTAAACACTGCGTTCTGCAATGGTCTTCGCTATATAGGTCCAAACAATGATGCCAATTGTGCCCCAAATCGTGTTCACTTTCGGTGCTTAATTAGTTATCAAACATTTTGTTAGAGGAAAAAAAGAACATCTACTAGGAACAAGAAGCTACTAGGAGCAAAGGGCATCGCTACTAGGAACAAGAGGCTACTAGGGGCTCCTGGCATCGCTACTAGGAGCAAGGACGCTACTAAAATATAGAACAATTACCGACTCAGCAGATTTTGGTGACTCCACACGACTCGACATGACACGTTGGCGCTGCACCCTTTATATACAAGTACTTATACAACGGTTCATTGGGCATGGTCGACCCGAAATGTGGTTCGATGTTGAACGTGCATGGTTCAAAAGAATCCAAGATGTGCTTTGGGTTTACAAAAATGACTAAATGATTGCTTTTGGAGAGAAATGCAATTGCTTCAGTTTCCAAAGCTGCATCTCATATTTTGCACAATATTGTCCCGTTTTCACAACTGACCCCGCGTTCAGTTCCGTACACATTTGATGTAATGGCATGTCGTGACATGAATGAATGTACACTGAATGAACGTACACATTTGATGGCTCTTTGCAAACCCCTCAAAGTGCCAAACACTCTGCTCTGGCTTGGAGGCATCGAGCAACCCAGGATCCTCAGCCTTGAAAGTGGCTCGATGCCAACTCAATGCCTCCAACGCCTGCCTTGCTAGTTCCCTTGAAAACAGCATCAAATTAGTGAAATCTGGCTAAGCGTGTTACAGCCTCTGGGCCAACAGTGCCATCTGCTGCCCAGGCAAATTTCCTCTCCTTACTTGGCACCGACCCAAAGCAATTCCACAAGTGTCAGAACTTCGTCACATGGCGCCAATTGGTGCCACGTTGTTTGCACTTACCTATTCTACTTACCCTTTTGGAGGCCATCACTTCTAGGTTGCAGGCCATCGCTATCAGGTATCGTTCTTTCTTTCTATTCACCTTTTTGAACTCATACGACTCATACATTATATTATACGATTCCCTTCCTTTGCAACCGTGCTGCCCGGATCCTACCGCTGAGCATCTTTATGAAGCAATGAGCACCTGTGAGAGGCTCGTGTCAAAAGTTTCAAAGTCACGACATATGCGAAACACTGTGAAAACCTGAATGATCATGGATCGGGCTCTGTTGCCCCTTCTCCCAGCATAGCAGCAGAGCCTTCAGTAAAGAAATGCAGCAACTCCTTTTGTCAAGAAATCAAACATAAACTTCAACCACAAAGCAACAACACGATTAATCTTCACAAGCGCCATCTTAAGAGTTAAAGATAAAGGCATCAAATATCTTGAAGTCTGTGCTCAGCGCGATGAACTGATTCGGTGAATAGCCAACAATGTTCCTCTGAAACTGCAAAAAACAAAGATTTGCAAATGGCATGTGCTTTTCTCATCACAAAGACATCACCTCCAGATTTCCAGTGCACCTGGTGTAGCGACCGCGGCGAAAGACTGCATGCTGCTGCCACTCCCGTGGGTTGAGCCGCGTTTGTTGCAGAACCTGCAAAGCAAAGAACATATATAGGAAAAAGTTGGAACGAGTCCAGCTTGTTCAAAGTTCAGCTTGTTCCAGGAAAGTCACGAGCCTCTTTCACTCTGGCCACAACGGCTCCATTGATCGGGGCACCGACTGCTGGATGCGGAGGCAACTCATCACCTCAAGCGTAGAGCGTATGCAGCATCAGAGTCACTAGGTCATTGTATTGATCGTGCTTGGTTGGGCAATCATCGATTCCTTATTGAACTTGTCGCGTTCAACTGACCCCTGTGTGGTGTACACCGAAAGTTTAACCTCCTACATGCAACAAACATATCAATTCCATGGGCAAAGTGGGCTGAATGCAGGGCGAAACCCTCAGCGCTGAAGCTGAGTCATATGACATCTGACGGCAGACGCAGTTTAACCCAAACTCCGACCAGCTGCTGTGGAGATTCAGAGAGGGAAAGCACTAAATCCGAATTGCTGAGGTCACAATGACATGGTGCAGCTTAGCTTTACTTTGCCTCAAGCTGGCCATCTGAAAGTGAAGACGTGTCTGGATGAGGCAGGTATAAAATGTATAAACGACAGAGTTCAAGTTGGTTTGGTGACACAAGACAGCGCGGCATCATGGCCCGTGGTGCCGTGGTGTCGCTTCACCACAGCGATTCAACGGAAATTACCACTCTGATCTCTGGAAATTACCTCCACCCTGATTACAGCTCATAGCTTCTTGTCACTAGTAGCGATGGCCTCCACCTGATAGCGTCCTTGCTACTAGTACGCCTTTGTACGGCTTCGTGATGTTGGACTGGTCGCTCCGAATGTGTCAGCACTCTGTGCTTCGCAGGGTGGTGCCAGAGGACTATCAAGTGGATTCATTTTCGGTTGCACAAGCTATATCATGCTTCTAGCCCTGGCCTCAGCACTCCTAAGTTGAACAGCCACCTTGAAAGGAAAAAGGAAGAATTCTCACCCAAGCTGTCGGACCTGAAAAACACGTCTTCCCTTAACTTGATGCTAGGCCTAAAGAAGTCCCTCTACCCATAGTGGGATCTTTCGATTGCTGCTCCAAACAAGGCTAGGTGCAAGCACTATGCAATCACTATTGAATGCCTCATTGATAGTCTCTTTCACACAAACTGTGAAAAGAAGCACTCTCAGCCTTGGTCAATTTTGGGGACCGTGCAAAGCTGCTTCACAAGAGTGGGCAAGTCCACAAAGTTGTTGCCAGACTGCCGGGTGCACTATGAAATGTTGAACTCACTCAAATGCTTCATGACGAAAACAACCTAAATGCCTTCAGGCCAAGTGGATCAGACTACTACGAACAATAATGCAACGCTACACACTCCAATAACGTTTCCATCCCTTTCCTCTTGCTCACCTTCCTCTTGTACCGCATGACAACGTCACTGATCTCTTCCATGTCTTTTTTGTTTCCTTTCCTTTTCACCGACTCCTCCTGCACCGGAGGGATGCTGCCCAGCATGCGTGTACGACACCAGGCCGCGGGGTCCTCACAAATTCCACCCTGAAACTAAAAGAACACTGTAGTTTCAGTATATACACGCAAGTAAAGTTAAACACAAATTACTTTACTTCGAGTGGCCCCCACCACGGTATTACATTCTACTGATAACCGCTGACTATATTGCTTCAACAATGGCATTCTATCTGGCATAAATTCTGGCATAAACTCTGGCATTCTGACATATATGTTGGCATTCTATCTGGTGCATATTCCGGGCACTCTATCTGACATATTTTCTGACAATAGGTTGGCATTGATCCTAACATGTTTTTCTGGCAGACATTCCGGCATTCTATCTGGCATGGCATCTGGCATTCTATGTGGAATTTTGTCTGGCATTCTTCGGACATCTATTCTGACATTTTTTCCATATAAAATTTCATGGCATATCAGCATATCTGGCATATTTTTGCTGGGGTTCTACCGGACATATATCCTGGCATTCTATCTGGCATAGCTGCTGACATTTTTTCTGGTTCAGGGCCCCCACACATCACTCTAGCGCTCGACTTCCGGCTGCGCCCACTGCACTCGTGGTTGATGCCCGGTGGTGCCCACAGCGACCTAGCGCTCGCAGTTGACGCCTGGCGGCACCCACTGCGATCAAGCGCTTGCGGTTGAGGCCCAGCGCCCTCTACGATCTATCACGACACTCGCGGTTGGGTTCTGCGGCGCCCACTGCGAGCTGGCACCCGTGGTTGAGGCCCAGTGGTGCGCACTGCGATCTTGCACTTGGCTGAGCGCCAACCGTGTCCACTGTGACCTGGGAGGAGGAGGAGGACAGCTCTGATCAAATCTCACAACCTCACGACCCTCACCTGGCAAGTGGGGATCTATAAAGAATGGTGTATATAGATGCTTATATATATATATATGTATATATACCCAAAAAAAAGCTAAGTTGAAGTAGCATAGAAGTAGCAGTCCCTCCACGACTGGGTAATCTCTGCCTCTCATAGGCAGCCTGTATGGGCGCCAAACATCAGAGCCCCGCCTAACCAGAAGAAAAGATGCACCCCTTTGTTCACCTTCCAAAGCCTCCTGCCTAACCGAAAGCGATTGGCCGGCGGTTTTAAATAGAAAAAAGCCGCAAAAGGGTGCTTTAAATTTGCTCAAATTCTTCTTATCCACGCCCCCCTTTTCTGCGCTTGCGCGTGCTCAAGGGTGGTAGTGGATTATGTTGGGTGTGAAACACACACAACCCCAGAAAAAGAAAAGGCATCAAACTCTTACGTGGAAGTTGCAACTCAGCTAAAACTGCCATGCTTTCATTGATGTAGATCCTGACGGTTCTAGCCGCCTGCCATCGGCCAGAGACCAGGAGTTTGTCAAAACTCCCATGTTTGCGAAACCAGAAAGTGGCTCCCCCCTTCGCAAACAATGTAAGCTGCAAGCAGGGTCCAAGGTAGCAAACAATGAATGCACGTGGAGGGTTGCCTTGTTTCCATAACCAGAGCCAGCGCAAGGCATGGCTCGAAGTGAGGGTGACTCAAGGATAGCACTGCTGGGAAGAAGGGCCTTTCATAAAAATGTGGCTGTTCTGTAGGTGTAGCAACTCACTAGTCCCTAACATGGCGTAATACCCCACGAGTAGCGCGACTGCAAAACCAAGTGAAAAAATCACCGGCCCACCGTTGCAACAAGAGCGTCTTCAGTGAGAGGGTCGCCCTGTTCGGCACTTAGTGCGCTATGTTTTCAACAGGCGCCAGGTCAATTGGAGATGACCCTTTAGCTTGGGATCGGCATCTTGCAGCCCTGCTACCGTATCCAAAGCTAATGCGCGACCCTCTCTTTCTTGCCAGACAAACTCCACATATTCGGCCACAAGTGTGTCTAAAGCCTCACGCCTTGTGGGTAGTTTCAACCAATTTTCTGTCAGGAAGTCACAGAAGAGATTGCGTGCCTTGAGATACCGCTGGTGTGTTTTGTCGTGGAAAGTGAGAGAACGTAAAGCGTCCAAGGCTTGCCTCTGTTGCTTACCCTGTTCCTGGCTGCGACGTTCAAAAACCTGTCGGCCTACTTCGCCCATTTCTTCCGGACCGGCCGCGCGCTAGTCCGCGGGGTTCTGATACGTGTGGATGTACGCTGAGAGGGGAAGGATGCAAGCGCAAAGTTGCCTCATAATGGGCCTGAGACGCTGGGTAGAGCTCTGCCCTCGAGTGAGAGCATGGAGACAGACCAAGCTATCTGCAAGATGTAGGAAACGAACCCCCACCTTCTGGTCCTCCAAAGCTTCCATTTGACACCGGGGGTCTAAGGGGGGTTGCACCATCATGTCCTCCCCTCTACCTGAGGTTAAGCCGAGACATTTCTTAAAAAGCTGCACTTCACCGCCAGGAGGTGCACTGTGGTGTCCCCCAGGAGCGCTTGAAGTAGAGCCATGCAACCGCAAGGTGCTGCAGAGTTGAGCCAATAACCACACCACTACTCCCACATGCCAGGAGCTTCCAATAAGGCTAAGTCTGACGTCGTCATAGTGCTGCCCGCGCCGTTCAAACTTAGGGACCCATTGCCGAGTGTATCCCAAAGGAAAGCCCACGCACACTTCCAGAAAGCGCTCTCAAAGCCTAAGGAGCGCAAGCAAAAACTTCAATCTATGGAAGAATAAGGACAGCCATACGAGAGCTCAAGATGAAATTCCCAACTCCGGTCTGAGGCCTGTCACGTCGAAACCAAACGGCTGCTTCGATCCAAGCTGAAAGTATAGGCAGTCAAGTCCATGTCGACTAGCTGGCAAAGCGTGAAGTCCAAGCTGCGACATGAATTGCGCTCTAGCCGCTTAGCCAAAAACATCTCCACAAAGGCGAAAGGAAAAGCTACAGGCCGCGGCGCCTTCTCAGGGTCAAGCTCGGAGGCTGGCTGGTCGGCCTTCTCCTCAGCGAGTTCCGTTTGACACACAGGGTCTCCAAATGGCCGAAGGAGCGGATGCGAGAGCACAAGTGAGTCATAGATCGGCCGCCCGCACCTTGTCCGGAGATCCAGCGGCCCTCGGTCACACCCAGGGCATTCCAGGGCTGGCCCCTGAAGGTCGCCGACCGAGATGGCCAATTCCTCAACCTCAGGGTCTGAGCCGCCACGGCAGCTTGAACTAAAGCTGAGGCCACCCTGGCACCTGCGCACAACGAGGATGATGAAGGTAGCACCACAGCAGCAGCCTAGGATGCAACCAACCAAGGCCAAGAGCACAGCCAGCACCAGGCTGATTCCTCCACAGGACGGTGAATGCCAAGCCCACATGAGCTCACTAGTCCAGGGAGGCTCAAGGACATGTAGCTGCACTCGAGCCGATATTTCCTGAGCAAGACACTGTCTCTCTTGCTTGCTGAGATAGTGGACATATCATAATAAGAGTCTTCATTATTTGTCCTTATCCAGTCCACAGGTGCTTTGAAACTGTCCATCCTTCGGTGCTCGAAGCCGGAGAAGGTACCACGAGAAACTCCTTGCAGTCCCAGTGATTCTGAAGAGACAAATTGGCACGAACTGAAGCTCTTGAAGACCGTCGCAGAGATCAAAGCCTTAGAAGATAGTACAAAAGGGTCAGCTCGGATAGTCTTATTGTTGTCCTCATGCGCCTTGCACTCTGACATGCAAATGCCATGGCTGAATTGAGTTGTGCTCTAGCACACTTCCTTCTCGCATCTTACCTGTCTCTAGTTACTGCCTACCCTCTAAGACTCAGCTTGTATTGGAAGCCACAAAAGAAACTGTGCTGTGTGTGTCTCTTTCTTTGCCTCGTGCTCGTACTACAGTGTACAGTGTCCGATACCAAAACTACCTTAAACATGGGAACACACAATTGCACTTTGAGGACTCTTGGACTTCTTTATATTCACATGTGCCACTTGTCAAAGAGAAATCCTTGAGGCGTGCTCCTGACAGCAATCACAAGTTCCTGTCCTAAATCCGTGTTTAGCCCAAAAAGCTTTTGGACGATCCACATCAGGACCCTGATCTTTTTCCTCCCGTTGAAAGGTCTAAGTTTGCCTCCCTTTTGGGTGCAGCATGTGAAGCACTCGCTCAAAACCCAAGGACAAGAGTCTGGTCTCCGAGGAGACTTGCTAAGAAAGAGAGGAGATTTGATAGGTCTAAAGAATATCAGTTTTGTTTCACAGTTTTCATATTTACCGTTATGTCCAAGACCTAAGGCTTACCCATGGGCTCTTGGGCTTTGACAAGGTGTTCTTTGATTGCTTGATGTAATATGATGGCAGCAGTGACACTCTATTCTCTTCCACTTGATGAGATTTAAGATGTGCATGTGTGTGTGTGTGGAATTTTGAAGAATGTGCACGATACCTGCAAGTCAAACTTTAAAGGAAAGGTGGATGCGGAAGAATTAGGTCAATTGTATCTTGTCTCAAGCATCCTGTCTTACGCGCAGCTGCATGCCTTTAAGGATTTCGTGCTCTAGCTTTCCTTCCGCTTCTTGACAACGGGCTTTGAAAGTGGCTTCACAGCTCTGTGGCGAGCCACAGGAGCTCAAAACGGCTCATCATCAAGATGTCCCGCAAAGGCTTCACTGGCGAAGAAAGACTCAGTGGTTTTTTGAAGGGAAATAGATGAGAGAAGGAGAAGATCAATGTTAAACAAGATTGGTTTTTTAAAAATGATGTGTTTCTTAAGTATAGACGTTAGATCTTCAACTTGCTCAATTCGTAATCAGCCAATGAAGCGCTGGAGAAAATGCAGGCGATTGTCGCCTCTATGGATGCTGCTTAGCGCAATGACAAGGCAAAGCTATGCTAAGTCCCTCTTTGAGACGGCATCCGATTGAAAGTATTTGGAGCCTGTGCGACATGGCTCGTGAAACACCTCAGCCTTTTGAAAAGCAGCATACGCAAATGGCAATGCTTTGAAGAGCTTGACCATGCTTCCCAAAAAGGACGTGCGAAGGAAGTGAATCGTTCTTGCAGAAGTGAAGAACCTGTAAGAACCATGTGTAGGCCAAGGACCGGCAAGCAGCATTTCAACAGAAACTACAAAAATGACATACAGTAACTGTAAACATGCCGCTTCCTTGGGACTCCCTTGAGGACTCGCCCTAAGTGGTGACGTTTCCCTCAGGCATTTATTGGAATTGAACTGATTCACAATTGAATATACACATCGCGAAACGTCCCACTCAAGTAAAGCGGAAAAAGACTGACTGTGCCCAGACACGCTGGCACAATTCCAAGCTCACTAGTCACTCATACAGCCGGAGTTGGAGAAGTCAGTGAACAACCATCTGCTCAGAAATTGTGTCGAATACATCAGGAAAGCATAGGAAAGCCATCTTGCTGAAAGTGTGGTTTCCACATTGAAAGAATCGCGGCAGCAGACTTGTTTGACTCGGCAAAACTCCTTTGCCTTTCTTGCAAGAGAATTTCTAAACACTCGGAAGACCTTCTTGAAGAAAAGGCAGCAAAGGAAGCCGCCCTTGCCTGGCATGGAGAGTAGAAGGCGAAGCAAGAGATTACAAACAACCTGAGAAGGTAGTGACGACAGCCAGAACCGAAGCTGGTTGAGCGGACCCACTTACCCGCTGACCCAAGCTTGTGGTTTCTAACCTCTCTTCATTCAACCCCCTTTCTCGCTCGCTTCAGTTTTGACCACATTGTCGGTCAGACTCCCTGCCGTATATTGAGAGATTGCGTGATGTTCAAAGTAGGTTGTTTCAGAGCACCTATATTAGTATGGTTCCATCCACAAATCCAACTACATTGTTCCCATTTATGGCAACATATGAATACTGTCCCTATTTGTCCGAAGTCCAACGTGCAACGAGTACATTCTACAGCCCAGAGTATTCTGTTTGGAGCATATGTATCGGTTGCAATGAGCACAGTTTCGTCTGCATAATAGATTGTTGATTTCGAAGCGAGCACCTGGCTGCCTGGCTTCCAAAGTGTATCTGTCAAGTCGACAGGTTACACTGTCTATAACACTCATTACATCGTATTAAGACGAACGATTGTGATCAATTTTGGCGATAAAGATCGGCTTTCTGGACGATTTCCTAAACTTATCTTCTTGGTTGCTGTAACAGTTTTGTGGCCTCAGAAAAATGTTCGTTACTCCCGAGTCTGTGCAACATTATGTACAGTTTGTCATGTTGCCTTATCAAAAGCCTTCTCCCAATCCAAGTATATATGATGGTAAGCTGTCCTTGATAGTCTTGATAGCTGTGGAGGTTCAGTTTGGGCAAAGAACTTTAGTTGGAATGCAGTGCAGGTCTTCAAAATATGCGCCATCGCCCAGGCCTTTGTCATCCAGGTTTCTCACGGTCTTTGCATCAACAGCCTGCCAGATGTGAGCATTCTTGTACAAAGCTTATTCTCCCATGTATTCCCTGTCTCTGCATTGTGCATGTGGGACAGGGCCTTCATTTCCTTAGCCACAAAGATTAAGCTGAGTCTTGACACCGAGCAACGAAGCATGTGCAAAACAGTAAACATCGAGTTCAATACAACGGTGTCAGCCAAGAAGCACCTCCAGGGCTAGATTGGCCGTACCTCTAACAATATTCACAACACATCATCCACCATGCACTTGTCTGAGGGGTGTCCACAAGCAGGCAAGGGCACTCCGTGGGTTTATTCTTCAAGGCTCCAGCCACATCAATGCCCTCACACAAGGCCGACGTCAGCTTTGCATTTTGTCAGAAAGTGTTCTCGTTGCTAGGAGCGGTAGTTTTATCCAAGCCTACGGAGAGCCTAGCAGCTAAGGAGAGGCGCTATCATTAGCAACTAAAGTTGGGCCCAACACACTCTTGACAACTTGATGACACAAAAAGCAGCGCCAAGACAAGAATCAACACGTGTCCAGTTCTCTTTTGGAACATCTTCAACTTTCTTCAATGCTCTTGTCCACGAGATTCTGAAAGAGCTCCATTCTGCGCCTCCAAGTCTTTGTCCTTTGCAGTCCTTGGTCTCTTTCAAAAGCCATCACAAAATAGAGAAGCTACTGGGTAGTCAGTTGCTCTACTCTACCTCTAAAAAAACATAGTAAACAAATGTGCTTAATGGTAAAAGAATGATAGGTTTCACGTTTCATACTTGGTATTCGTCCAAAACAGGTGTTGTTGGAACCGGACTTGGAGTTCTCAGGCCTCTGCTCATCCTTTTCGTCATACAAGGAAGAATCCCTTGGTTCAGTCAAGCAATTGCTGATGGTCAAAACCCAGTTTGCCCTTGAAAAGGTGAGCGCCAAGTGCGAGAAAAACAAAAAAGTAGGAACTAACAAGTTTCTGCTCAAAGAAGCGGTGTCATTTGGGGGTATAGAGTCCAAGACCTGCTAGCATAGAAGGGTCTTGAAAGAGACGGTAAGAAAAAGTGATGGAAACGAAGGTAAACGGGTTTCGATCAAAAATATTTGAGAATTTGTTTGAGAATACAACTGCGGTCCAGTCCCGTAAGATTCCAACGAGTCAGAGAAACCCGTTCCCGCTGCCCCCTGAGACACTGCACTCGCACTCGAATGCGGAATGAATGGAATGGAGGCGGTTCGAACGTTAAGAAAATGAATTGATTTGTTCTGAGAAATGTCACATGTTCTGTTATTCTCAGTCTCTCGCGCTTTCGTTCTTTTGAAAATACATCGAAACATGTTTTTGTACCACAAATGCGTGTCACTTGTCAGCTGGACCCTGCCTCTCCCAGACCCTCAGATGCCACATAGCGGTTCAGCAGGAAGCGGAAGACAAATGGGGCGAAAATGGTGGCCTCCGAGCAAGGGCAAGCTCGGCATCCAAGAAACTTCGAAGCTGTGGTAAGCCATGCCAGGGTTGCATACAGCAAAGCCCAGATCACAACGGAGAAGGTCCTCAAAAAAAATAGACGCACACGCATAGGCGACGCGGCATAGTGGCAAAAGATACCCACAGGACCATAGGGCATATGCATTTGCGCGCATTCGTAACCGGCACGGTCGACCACAAATGTGTTCCTATTTCCTTGTGACTTGAGCCAAAATACGTAGGTGATACATCTGCAATGCTGATCACAGCTGCGCATTGACAAATTGAGGCGGATTGCAACTGTGTATACAAGGATGTATGATGCCGCTGCACGGCATGTCGCTACGCGAGCAGTTAGTCTTCTTCTGCAGAACTGTGGACTTCTCCTTCGCTATCTTTCCGAAGGCTTCATTAGACAGCATCTGCCTGAAATGGTGTGAGGGAACGCGGCCACGCTCAATGTTTCTCAATTGCTCGCTGCATCCCAATGATTCAAAGGGCTGAAAACAACATGCAATGGATTGATGCACGCGCGCATTCTGTGTCCTGCTCTTCATTGTTAAAGTATGACTAGGTTTCACTTCCAAACGCTGCTCTGATGGATTTCTCCACTTCCAGACATTCTTTTCCACGTTACGTGTGTGGTACTCTTCTTTAGTGATTTCTTTCTTGAGGTACCTTTGGTGAAGATCTTTGAAGCTCAGCTAGAGCTAACGATGCACGATCCCAGTGAGTCCTCGAAAAAAGAGGCACGTCACTTTAATCAAGTCGCTGCACTAGATTTCCTCCCCGCGGGCGTCCTTCTTGTAGTCACCGTTCTCGTCTGTGCCCAGAAAGGCTCGGGCGCACTTGCCCAAGGTATCATCTCGCTTGCGTTTGAAGATTTTGTTTGAAAGTTTTGCCACCGTGTTTTTATAGTACAGCGCCTGCGGGTGGCACTGAAGAAAAGTCCAATCATGGTGTAGCGGCCCACGATTGAGCTTGCCACCGACTCAATTCATATCTGCGCGCACTGCCAACAGCATGTGTTCTGTGACAGTTGGTCTTGGCTGTCCCTTGGCATCTGCTTGAATACTCTGCAAAGATGCATTGCCTTCTTCACCTGTTTCTTCTTGCCCAGGAACATCATATCCGTCATTTTCTGCGTGATCTTCCATCACTTGCCTTCTGTCCAAGAACGATTGGCTTGCTTGGCTCGTGACGCTCTCCTATCAGGGATTCCAGTTGGGTTCGTTCATCATCAACTTCGATGCCCATCGTTGCGGTTTCCTCGGTGTAGGATTGTTCTTTCTTCACGTTGGCGTCAAGAGTAACTCATTCGTGCGTGATGGGACACCATCAGCATTGCCTGGGCCTGGAAGAAGGCTACACCTTCGTAAGGGAAGAGGATTGACCCTGATTCAAGTTGAGGGCAACATCCCGCACCTTGTCAAAGAAAGCGAGCTGCGTTGAAGCCGAAAGAAGATCTAGAACCTCACAAGGCATCTCAGCTCACGTTGTCGACAGGTGAGTACCCATGACCGCAATGTGAATATGAAAAAGTTGCAACACCAGATCATCAGGATGATACGCATCAAGGAACTCCAATGAACGAAGAGGGCCACATCGTGAAGAGAAAGAAAAGACGAAGAAGAAGAAGAAGCAAGAACCAGCAGCGCCAGGCGAGGACGAGGAAAGATCCCGGCGCAGAAAGGGAAGCAAGAAGTAAAGAAGACGGTGATCATTCATGAGGGCGACGATGATGAGATTGAAGTGGGTGTGGTCGAAGTAGCGAGTAGAATAGCTCAAGAGGAACAATGAGTCCGAAGGCAGGACCGCCTGTTGTGAATCCTGCGTTAGAACAAAAGATGAAACACTACCAGTTACACAGAGGAGCAGAGGAGCGTTCAAGAGACACCTCGGACACTTCGGGGAACTTGTTCCTTTTGACTTCGTCGATGCACAGAGAGTGGCACATTCACAGAAAGAGAATGAGATTTCTTTGTGGTGAGAGACAGGTACACTGCCGCGATATGCGCGTATCCAACAATGGAAAAGGAAATCAAAGACGTCGTCAGTTCTATGAAGCATCTGGCTGGGTTGAAGAAGATAAGGAGCAGAGTGCGCGCTGCCACGCTGCGACAGGCCATGGCGGATGGAACTTGAACCAGCCGGAATTTTCCCTGACACACGTCGAATTCTACCGCCACACGAATCGCTTAGAGTCCATAGAGCGTTTGATACCCATCATGCAAGAAAGGAGTCATTCCAAGAAGGGATTGCAGAGGACCTCCTTGATGTCATTCAACGGCTTTATTAAGATTGCTCATGCCTATGCTCTCAGCGCATCTAAACTGCTCTGTTCTTCCTTCTTCGTTCCCTGGAGGTCGCAGTGATCTTCTCGTGGCTTGTTTCCACACCCTGCTAGATTCAAGGGGCATCTCAACCAGCTAGTTCCAGGCTTAACAAATCCTGCACGTTGCAAAATCACCATCAGAATCCTCAGCTGACACGCAGTCACCAATAGCGAGCGACGCCTTGGCCTTCGGCTTTGGCTTTGGCTCTGCTTGCGGATCTTGCGCAGGAGCCGCTTTTGTGCCAAAGACCTTTCGCTGACGCTTTGTCTTGAAAACTTTCTTTTCCCTCTTGATAGTGAAAGCGTGGCTCTTGGAGATGTAGATCTCGACGCATTCCTTGGTCTTGGCACTCTCGCTACAGGTAGATGTTTCGCCCTTGCTACCCTTGGGGGCATTGGCGCATCCTCAATGGCTCCTTGTCCATGCACTTGGGAACCTGTAGGCATTGTAGGGATAGATTCGCCCTGGGAGTCAGCACACACATTCATCTGCGAGTCGGGTGTAGACTGTGGGTGTAGACTGTGAGGTAGCACCCAGGACAGCAAACGAAAAAGCTGTTCCACTCATTTCTTCCGAGCCAGACATCGTAGGAGGTAAGCCGTCAAGGAACAAAGGCATTTGCCAGTCCTTGGTAGGATACCCTCTTCCAATGTTCGTGGCTCAGCTCGTAGTAGAACGATACGGCTGATCACCTGTGAGTTCGTAAATGGCGCGGTCGACCATAAATGAGCTCCTTTTTCCTTGCGGCTTGAGCCAAAATACGTAGGTGATACATCTGTGATCATGCACATTGACATATGGTGGCTCTGCTACTCGCAGTTTGGGCTTCACAAGTCTGACTGAGCAAGCTACCCTGGGTCCATCATTCCACTGGAGAGAGCCATCTGCGCAATCAAATACCTCAGGCCGAAAGGCGCCAGAAGGCTGATTTTTCTTTCTTGAGCCCGCTCGGCCCTGCACTTCTTCACTCCTAGCTACTTAAGCTTCTAGTAACTGGACACAAGATAGCTCGCACTATTCATTTGGCTCATTTGGTTCATTTTCGTCCCTAAGTGCTTGACGCAAACTCAGCTCTGCCAACCATAGCCCATCCAATGACCCATCTGGCTTTGCCCATGAAGGGTGCGCAAATGACCTTTCAATTCCCACTTTGCTGGGAATAAGCACAGACTCCTTTCCAGTTCTTGCAAAGTGCTATCGACCGTGATGCTCCTCTGTGCTTGAGACATTCCTTCTGGTCTGACATGTTACTCCTGACCAAGTACGTTGCCTTGGTTCCGATGCAAGCAACAATGCCCATGATGCTGCCTGCACGACTTGAAACAAGGAGAGAAACAAGGTGAGAAGCACCGAAAAGCAAAATCAAGAACATCTTGAAAAGGCTCGTAGACTCGTCCTAGAACATGAAGTTTCCCTAAAAATCTAGAAACCAAATCACTAGTGCGAGTGCTATCCTGCGTCCTAGGTAGTAGCTTAAGATAGCTAGTAGCTACATCTCTTGCACTAGCTACCCCACCTCTTCTCGGCCTACCTCCCTCCCCGAAAAGAAAGTGAACATCTTGAAGGGCAAAACTCGGTCCTTTCCAGAAAGCATCAAGGGACAAGAGCTGCTGCAAAGGAATCGAAAAGGCTACGGTGCCCGTGAAGAAAATGCCTCGAATGGAAACGAAAAAACGGTGGAGTTGAAATATGTGTTTGGCAGCAGGCGATGTGCTAAGATTGACACGGATCATCCACGACGTCAACCTCTTCGTCTGCTTCACCCACACCTTTTCTGTTCAGCTTACAGGTGAAGCAGCAAAGGATAGCAAAGGAATGAATGTGTTTGTTGAAAGGTCCAAAGGACGAACAAAACAAATTTGCAAACGCTACTAGGAACAAGTGCCTCGCTACTAGTAACAAGTGCCTTACTACTAGTAACAAGAAGCTACTCTGCATAAATTTGACCCTTCTGTGTAGGAACCTCCTAGCTAAGGCTGGGCACATGATGCGCATGATGTGGCGGCTCCAGGCATGCAAAGGACATACCCGCAATAAAGCATCCCCACCTTGAATATGAACCAAACAATCTTGCAATACCAAAGAACACAAGAAGAGGTTTTGACTTGGATCCAAACAAATGTGTACCCAAGAAGTGTGTAATCGTGGCATAGACAAAGAGCAATGCCTCAGCAGTGTCTGCTCCAATGACACAAACCTGCAATAGAATTGAACTTCTCGAAGATAAATGTAGATAAGTAAAAATCAAAACGCTGAGGACCCTGACGAACATGAAGAGAAAGAGTGCCTCACACACTGGCAGTGTGCACATGTCACAGCGGCCCCATCAGAGTAGCGGCCCTGTCGCTAGAACGATCTTTGTTAACGAAACTCAAAAAAGGCAAGTTCGTAACGTTGGATCCCGCTGCGCTGATTCTGTGCATGATCACAAGTTGGCGGGTGGTGGCATGCCAGGCGTGCTTCGGCATGTGTTTGAGATGCATGAGTTGTGAATTGTTTTCTCGCTCACAATCGTGATCAGTCCCGCATGCAAGAATGCGAAAATCGGTGAGGCATAAAGAAAGAGAACTACGACCAGCTTTTGGGCTTCGTATGCATCAATTTGACTCTAGCGACTGCTGAAGTCCACTTCCAATCAGCTCCAGATTCCTCTTGTGTATAACAACTCTCCAACAGAAAGTTTAACCCCACCCTCCACACTCGACCGAAATTTTCACGCTGCGAATTAAGGGTCTGCCAATCTTGAGCAAAATAATGAGGTGGATGCGCTTGCTTTGCCCTTTGCCAATTCTAATCTCAACCCACAACTGTCTTCCACGGAAATTGAAGACTGGCTGAGAACGTCTACGAAAGCTTTGTTTGGGGTGGAAGTTGCAACTTGTTTGATTGAGTATATATTTAGCTTTGTCATTGAATGCTTGCTAGAGGAGCAGCTACGATTGTCCATATCTTGAATTGTTTTTGTTCCTTTCCCTTGCATAACCCTTTTACAAACCTGGTGAGTGGGAGCAATTAATTTCATCATCAAAACATGTTGGTCAAACCAACGGTGACCAGCTTGATTCGAATCCTTCGTTTGATGGTGAGAACTTGTCATGATCTGTTTGATGTTCTTCCTAAATCGGCCAAAAACTTTGTACTCACACATGTTCCACCGGTCTGTATCTTCCTGCACCATGCCAGGCAGTTCACCAAGAGCTAGGCGTTTCCTACTACCGCGCTCACCGCACTGTGGCACAAGGGTGCTCCCGGCTCCCGTCCGAGCCGCAGGGAGACGCTGGGAGAAAGGCGCAAAACTGTTTCGCCCTCATCTGCAAGCGTGGTTTCCCGGCCTCATCTGCAGCCGAAATCTTAGCACCTTCAGCTTTTGGTGGTACCTCATTCAGTCACTTGTCTACTCGTTCTAAAGAACAGTGAATGTTGATTCAATCTGCGAGTGACTGCACATTGCAAGGCTCATTTGAACGAATATTTGACAAATAGAGCATGAAGATCATGCCTTTGCCAAGATATAGTTCTTGAGGAAGTTGGGCCAGAACCTCATAGTCTCATAGTTTTTCAACAATCACGGAACAGCGGGAAGCTGTGGTGAAATCTACGATGGCAAAAACTTGGAGACTCCGAAAAAAGACCAACATTGCACAAAGCTTGCAGTATTCTGTCAAAACTGCTCTTTCTACCTCACGAAAATGCGCAGGACCTCGTTTTGGTTTAAAAAAAGACTCTTTCTTGTCTCTGTGGCTCCAGCTTCACTGCCAGGACGCAAGCGAAGCCCATGAAGGCAATGCCAATAAGAGGTGCAAACTCGGAAGCCATGAGAAACAGCAGAATGAGAGGCGTGAAAAAAAAGAAACACCGTCGATCATCCGAAAACAAGAAAACTGGACATTGATAGACCAAAACCATTGTTTCTTCTTTAGAATACGACGAATGCAAGTTTCTTACTCGAGGGTGTCTTTCCCCATTTGTGAAAGTGTAAGTCGCAGCAAATGCCATGATACGTTGCCGCTCAGCAGAAAGCTGCGTATGCAGCTTGATTTGCCAGTCCTTGTGAATTCTGCTGGCAGCTGCTTAAGCCGCTGATCGAACCATGATTACCGCCATTGTTGTTCCTTGAATTGAAGGCCAAGAAGCGCTCGAGCCTACAGCCTCATATCATCCTTCAAGTCATTCTGAATGGTTTTCCTACTAGGCTCTCGCTTGGTGGACGTTCATTCCCCAGTCGTGCCAACGACAGCCTTCACATGATGCTTCGGTATACAACAACAGGTACAGGTAGAGATTTAGCCAGCTATCCCGTTGCGCACTTATTGAAGCTGTGGTGGCTGGTCTTCTTGGAGTCAGGTTGCTAGAACCCTACGTTGTTCTCATTGGCAATACCTTAAGTTAGTTGCTTTCTCAAGGACAGAATCTAGATCCAGACAAAAGCAGCAAAAGAAACAAACATTTCCTCGCAGAGTGAGAGCACTCCTGTCAAGCAGAAAATATTTTGTTGGTACCGAGCTTAAGAGCTGACACACGGATTTCATTCGTAGTCAGGCACCAAGACCAGGAACATGTTGAAACATGTTCAAGAAGACACAGTGGACACAACCTCTGCCACTCCAATCAAGTTCATGATGAGAATAGCAAAATTGCAAAGAAACATGACATGCAAATCACGTGAACACGAGAATTTTGGGTGAAACATTAAATCTCTATAATGGACCCCTCACTGATTCGGTCAGACGAGTCCAAAGTTCGGCTATCTACTCCGCTTGTACCACCGTTGCCGACAGTGTCGTCGTTGACGGTGTCGTTGACGGTGTCGTTGAGGATCGCATCCACCAAGAATCCTCTGCTCTTGGTCAATTCTCGGTCTAAAATCAGCTGTCCCAGCTGACGGATCTTCGACTCAAACAACTTTGTGCCAATCGCATCAATGACATGGCGCAAGCGCAACTCCTCGTTCGGATCGTAGCAACTTGAAATCGAAACATCGAAGCCTGTCAATTCCAAAAGTGCAGGCTGGCTCAGCGGAATGACCACGAGCTGATTCAAAGCTGCTTGCACCTCTGTACAAAAAGTGCAAGAGAAAAGCTGCAGAAATAAAAACTGAAACTATATGTAAATATAACACATCACGGCCGTCTTTACCTTTCTGATCCTTAATGCCGAGCCACAGGCATAGAAGAAAATAAAACACATAGTTCCCATGCGCACCAAAGTCGTGTCGGGTATGTTGGCCCACAAAGGACAAGCACCTGTCTGCATGCCATCACATTTACAGGCAACACCCTCAAACCGTCTGCAATTTGACGCTGGTCGATGCAGACTTTGTCCACCCAGAATGTTGGATCACGCCCGTGCTGCAGCTTGAAGTTCTCTGCCACCAGCTGAAGCGCTTTCCATTTTTGTGTGGGTGGATCCTTAGACAAGAAGGAGTCAGACCAAACCCAAAACGACCTAAACCCAAGAACAAAAATGCCTGACGATATGCGTGCGGATCTCTGGCAGGCCAGTAGATTCTTTTGTGAGCGCACGGTTTATGGATGGACTATTCGTACCAGTACAAACAATCTTCTCTTTTAGCTTACTTGATGGATGCTTTGTTAGGTTCTACCTTGCGCAGTCAGGAACATTGTGGTGAAAGGTCGGCGCAGAACAGCCCATTCAAAAGGACATACAGCGCGATGACCTCACAAGTTTACATCTGAGACTTGGAAAGCGCACTCTTCTCAGCTTGGCATCTGACCATGAATGCGAAACAAAGAAATCAATCACTTCGCCACGAGCTAATGGGCGCGAAAGCTCAAAACCACCAGAGCTTTGAGCCCAAAGGTCTTCTGTTTGAGCCGCCCAATCCACCTCGGGAAGTGCAGCGACAATCTACGGCAGAATTGCCATGTTGTATATATATATATATTTCACATCGCATTGCTTTAATGCCTTTTGTCTCTAAATTGTGTTTCTGGCATGCTTCTAGAAGTGTTGAGGCCTGACTCTTTTCATGTATTTATCTCTGTGCTCTTCTTCTGTCACATTTGTGTCTTCAGTGTTTTCTTCGGGGGGTTCACTTTTTCACTTGCTGCTGTCATAGTTTTAATGCCGCATCATTCCACGTTTCTTTCTTGTATGATTTGTGGTGCTTGATAACTTCTTTTGCTCAATCGTTTGTTCTTCTTGATTGTTCATGTTGTGTTACGTTAGCCTTCCTTGCTTTTGCTTCTCTCAATGTCTATCATGCTTCAGTTTTTGGGGCCTGCACAGGAGCAGCGGTCAGTCCCAAGAGCACACGGAAGGCTGAAGTTCCCCCTGCTGGATTTGATGTTGTGGAAAAGCCACAAAAATCAACGAGGGACGCAGTATCAGGCAAGACTAAGTCAGACTTTACTGGCTGCAGCCAAATGCCAGCTGCAGCAGTGTATCCTTTGTTCAGCTTGTTCGTTCATTTCCTGTTGCAGTCCGGTTATGTGTCGTTTGCCTTCCTGTTTTATCGCATTCCTTCCTTTGCATGTCGGCATGAATTTGTCTTTGTCCTGGCAGGATTGTCCATTCGCTGATGTCTTTAGTGTTGTGAGGTGCTGCCAATATCCTGAAGCATACATAGATTGTCCTCCTTTCTGCTTTTGCTTTGGACCTTTAGACTCTAGACCTTTTCTGTGTTCCTTTCTATTTTTCAAATTTTTGGGCACAAAAGTCAGGCATATCATGATAGTTTCACTTCCCAATCAAACTGGATTGCACTCCAACATGACCGACCCACTAGGAGTGTTTGCGCGGTGTTTTTTTTCGTCTTCGCGTTTTGATATCTGTCTTGGCTTTGTGAGCTTGGCGTTTTCTTGTTCTCTGGTTCTTTCTTGTTTGCATTCATCTTTTTGTGTCTGGTTGTTTCCGCGCTTGCGAAGTCCTTCAGATTGTAGATTAGATGGACACATTGCATAGTATATGTTATACCAACTCCCTGCAAAAAAATTACAAAGAAAACGGCAAAACCTGTTGAGATACCTATTTCGGAGAACTGAAGCACCACTCAACAAATTGTAACATGCAAAACCAATTCGGACAAGAAAATGCCTAAAGAAAACCATCTATATATATATACATATACCTGAGAAGGGAGGGGACGAAAGCCAGCCTCTGGGTTAGGGGGTGCCTTTAGTAAGGGCAAGCCTGGCCAAAGACTTGGCGTGCAAGATGATGAAGTGATTGGGTAACATTGGGCAAAGAGTGCTTGCATGGGGTGAAGTTCACATCGCAACCACCTCGATAGGGGGTAGAAACAGGAAGTCGAATACATAGGGCCATAGGGTGCCCTTTTTCGTAATTCTGTTCAGCGGCGTTTTGGAGGTGAAAAAGGGCACCTGGAAGGAAGCGAGGGGCGCTTGCCTGCTGTGTATTGCGAATCATTGGGCAAAGATGTACTCGGAAATGTTGATAATTGATATTTTGCAGCCACTTGAGCGTGCAGATGAAGTGATTGTCTAACATCGGGCAAAGAGCACTTTGATGGGGTGAAGTTGACATCGCAGCCACACTGACAGGGGGTAGAAACAGAAAGTAGAACACATAGCTTTGGAGGGGGGCGCCCTTTCTTGTCCTGGCTCAGGGGCGTTTTGGAGATGAAAAAGGGCACCCCTAAGGAAGTGAGGGGCGCTTGCCTGCGGCATGTTGCGAATCAGTGGGCGAGGCTATGGGCAAGCTATGGTGAGGAGACACATATGTATATAGGTAGAGTGGACAAAGAGGAGCCGGAAGTGGTGAAGTGGATACGGCCGTCATTCGAGAAAGAATGGAAATAGACCGTAGAATCGCCGTAGAATACACAGGTTTGGGACGGGGTGCCCTTTTTCGTCTTGATGTCGGGGCACTGTGGAGGTGAAAAAGGGCACCCCTGTAGTCCGGGGGAAGGTTTGGTATGGTGTGCTGGTCTGTGTTTCAAGTGAGTTGACGGCTGGCTTTCGTGATTAGATACTCCCCGTATGGGGTGCCCTTTTGAGTCCACCAACTAGACCTTGCCACGGATAAAACAGGACACCCCTAAGCAACTCAAAACCTTCCGCCTCCAATGCTTGCCCGCAACTGCAATCTGTTCTCTTTCCTGCTCTAACGTCTACGATGACTTCTAACAACTTTTCACGTCCCCTTCTCTTCCATTTCCTCTCATCGACGTGAACTCCCACCCCTAGTAAGAACAGGTTACATGGCCTCCTGAGCTGATGATGCACTACTGGCCGTCAATTACATCACCGGCATCACAACTCATTTTCACTACCAAGTGGCCCGCCTCTTTTTGTCGCTCTCCCCCACCAGGCTCTGGGTTCACCTCTCCGGAAGTGACCACATACGCAACCACCCCCCCCACACCCCCTCTACTCACTTCGTTCGCTCCAGAGTCTCAAGCCTAGCCTACCGGCTGGCTTTCGTGATAAAGGAAAGGAGAGGACGCTACTAGGGGCTCCTGGCCTTACTACTAGGAGCAAGGATACTACTAGGGGCTCCTGGCATGAAGGGCATTTCTACTACTGAACTCAAGCGCTCCAAGGTACGCATCTCAAGCGCTTTCGGCCTTGCTCCAAGAGCTCAGGCCAAGGCAACACTTGCTGGTTCCGATGAACTTCAAAGCCTTTTCCGCTCGGAAGTTGAACCCAAAAGCTCTTCCCATCAGCTGAAACTTCACTCACCTGGCCCTTGACGAAACCCGGTCTTGCTTTGTCATTTGGTATACTCAAGCTTTTCTTGGTGGCTGAACGGGTTGAATCAATCTTGGTCATCTTGGTCTTCCTTTTGGGCTGCCATGAGGCAATGTCTTTGCTGGATGCAGCCTCTGATTCAGACAGCCACCACGACTGACCAACTTCAACAACATAGGAATCCAGCAACATTGCCATGAAGGCACCATCTTGAAGTCTACGACTTTGATCAACCCACTGTGCCAATCGATCAAAAAGACGTTGTCGTCCAAGAAGGAAAACGATCAAGAGTGGAATCAAAACAATCACAGCAAATACACTTGCTGCGCCAATTGCAACATCCAACTGTCTACCTTCTTCCCACTGTTTGTGCCCCAGAGATAAGTCAATGGCACGGCAGGCAAAATAACTGCTATTCCATGTAATTGCCATGTAACTTGTTACATAGAAACGCAGGGTGGATCGGACCCTTTTCCACCAAAGCCGGCACTGGAGGGCAAAAGCCATGCTTGCATGAAGAGCTAACCATATGTTTGTCACCACCCCTGGCTCAGCTAGGGCAATCTCATTGATGGTTGAGGCTACAATCACATCCAAGTACCACACTTCCATCAGCACTCCAAATGATGGCGTGTAGCGACGACAACGAGAGCATGAACGCTTGTAGTAGATACAACCATTGACCAACATTGTGAGAGAAACTAAGCAGGATGTCCACCGTGGAAATGGCATCTCCCACACTCGTGTTGCTGCGGTGGTCAACGGGAGGATTGCCAAGAATATGCAAAGGATTGGCCTGGCATGAACAAAAGAGTTGAAGTCCAACTCATCTATGGGACAAGTGGAGGCAATGGCAATTGTTGCAGACGTCAGGAACCAGCCAAAAGCACTAAAGCCAGAAATGACAATCTCAGCAACGCGTCCCGCAGGTATGACTCTCCACAATATTTCAGTCAAGACTGCCAAGCAAATGCCCGCAATAAGAGTTCCCATTGCAACCTGTAGGACATAGTAAAATGCGCGAAGCCTCTCAATTGCGCGTTGGAGAGCAAAGAATGCGATTTTGCTTTTCTCTGATGTTCCCGATCCGGGTGTCGCCAAGCTGATCTCAGGATCGACAGTATCGAGATTCTCCAAATCCAGCTCAAACATTGTGCCCTGGAGGCTGGTGTCATTTGAGCGTTCAGACTTGTGGGCAGCGACAGCCATTGCGGCTCTACGTCTTAAATGTTGATCCAGAATCCAAATGCGGCGTGTTTCTTGTTCTGTCTGGCAAAAAATATCAGAAGTTCCTTGTGAGTCTCATGAGAAGCCTGAACAAGTAAGCTGCAGGAAATGCATGAGCAATCCGTGTCTGCTGTTTAAGCTGAGGTTGCCTATACTGAACAGCAGATGTAGCCTCCTTTGCGGCTCAGCCAAGTGTGGCACGACCGTCTTGAAAGCATCGAACTCGCCGCCCAGACCTCAACCACTAAAGGAGGCTCTTGAGGCTATCAAGATATGAACATGCCTCTGAACATAAGGATTTCAGATTTCAAAGTGTCCTTCTGGGGGGGGCCACTCCCCCGCCTTCCCTACATATTAATGTTTTTATAGCCTGAACTCACGACTGAGGACTCAGCTAAACAAAACATTGAAAAGCACCAGGGAGAGGATGTCATCCTTTCAATGTGACAACGTGAAATCCAGGTCTTTCAGCAGGTATTGGAAGAAAAAAATGTCTCGGCAGGCTCAGCTTTGGGTGATGTGGATAAGGTTGATGATTCTTACTGAGCAAATCTAAACAACTTAAAGACTGCTTGGCTCTGGTAGAGATACTGATACTGTCGAAATCTTATGAATGCGATACAGCAAGCAAGACCTCAAAAAAGCTGAGTCAAACGCCACAAAAGCTGCCGTGATGATGGCCTCGCCAAAATGCTGCAGCGGCAAAGCTACCAAGACACCAGCTGCGCATCGCTTGAAGCGCCAGAATCTTTCTATGGTTCTTTCCTATCGTTCACCGTCCACAGTGTCTACACTGAGTCTATACCTTTCTGCGTTTTCTCTTCCCTTCCCTCCCTTCATTTGCCACTTCAAAGCACATCAAGGCATGCACAGCGCACAGCGGACCTGCCCAAAGTTCTCCTGCAGGACACCTGCCTCACCGAGGAGGCGCAAAGCAATCCCGACACCTGGCACGAAGAAACCATATTCAAAAGGACTTAATAGAAACATAAGCATACATACCGTTTTTTTAGCAAAACAAAAGGAACGATGAAGATTGAAAGAATGGATTCGGATTGACAAGAAACTTCGTCGCCAGGCAGACTGGTGGGAGCCAAAGCAGTCCCAGCTGCAATGCCATCAGGCCTTCCAGACCATCTGCTTAATCGATGAAGTCCCAGTCTCAACAGGCTTAGAACGAGAATGAGCCAAGGCAACTCCAAGGCACATTAAGGGCCGCCCGAAAAGAACCGTGAGCAAACTCCCCATGACCTTCATTTGTGCAAATGACAGAGCGCGGAATCAAGTTCTGTCCTCTTTATCTTCATGTGTCTGTTCTGCTCTTTATCTTTGTCTTCTTTTTTAAGCTTTTCTTCGTCTCTCTTTGAATCCTTTCAGCTGAGCTGGTCGGCCAAGGGCAAAATGGTACCCAGGATCGCCACGCACACCGCAGGAGGACCCACCACCTGAGACCAGTCGCAAGGAGTTTCGGTCACAGTCTGGAAGCACCTTAGCTCAAAAGACCTCTTTTCGATTCCTTTAAAAAAAGATCATAAGTCCAACTGCAACCTGTTTGCTTTCTGAGTGATTTTCGGGATTCACCTTGTGTTTTTGACAAGCGGTGGAAGATTCTATCTTCGCGGAAAAAGAATGACACAACGCTCTGGGAATCACCCCTTTTTTCCACGTTCTTACTGCAGCACAGCACCTGCGCCTTTTCAAAGTCAAAGTGCATACCGCTTTCAAAGATCATCAAACCAACACCTTGGAGCATGGGAGGCATTTCCATGCGCACAAATGTCTCACCAATTCCAAGTGCTGTTCCAAAATTGATGGGGAAATGGTGTGCAATGCATGTTCTTGTCGAATTTTGAGGTCACTTTGAAGAGAGAAACTTCGTGTTGTTGCAGTGGAGCAGAAAGTGCTGCAAACTTGCAGGATGGGATTCACCGAAAACGGTGTTGCAGCGGATGCACCAAAAACAATGAAAGAATACAGTGTGCAAGCAGCAGCTTGACAGGGCAGCCAGGTTCTGAGCAGTGGAAAACTAGTCTGGAGGCCAAACACAAACATGTGTGTCCAGGGAGGGAGGAGCCATTACTAGTCATGCCCTTTGCTACTAGCAGCATCTTGCTACTAGTTACTAGTAGTAATGCCCGTGTTACTAGCCATGCCCCTGCTACTAGTAGCTTCTGCAATTACATTCACTGCAACAACCATGAGTTTGCTCAAACAGATTCGAAAAGTATGACACTGCGAATATATCATCTAATGTTTCTAAGGTACAGGTAGAACGATGAGGCAAGGATTGTACCACAGCTTACCCTTTGTCTCGTCCGACTAAAGAAGCAGTGCTCAAGGCTGATGTGTGAACCATTCATAGCCAGACTCCACACACAGTCAGGCAAGCTGGCAATCATGCAGGGAAACTGCGGGTGGTCTCGCCATGTCATTGCAACTCATGTGAAACCACACAAGGAAAATGAATCAAGTATGGATTCTGTTGCAAGCGAAATGTGCAGAGCTTGAGCAATGCTTCTGTGGATGAACAATCTTTCATCAGCAACATGACCAAAGATATGAAACTGATCATGGATCACTAGTAGTCACTAGTAGCCACTAGTCACTAGGTTCCAGGCCTGCATGGCCAATCAAAGTAAAGAAGTCAGGGAAGGAACCACAGTGCGAGTCGACGTCCTGAGACGAGCCCCCTCGTTGCGTTGCGAGAAGTTGAAAGCGGATCTCGAGATGTAGGGAGCAAGCTGAGCAAGCAGATGTTCATCGGAAAAAGCCGGTAAACCCTAAAGCGCTGCAGGGCTGTCATGCTCGCACTCTTTGATCAGGCATTCTTTGTAGCTGCTGTAGTGACCTCAAACAAAGAAATAAACGATTCTGGACAGGCTATGAATACGCTATGGAAGCTGTGACCCTTTACCAAAGTTTTGGTTTGAACCCTGGCCAAGGGCCAGACCACCAGAAAGACGCCTACTTGCAAGCAAAGTCGCTTAAACACATTCAGAAAGTTGCTCAAGCAAGTTGTGTTGCAATCGGCTATGTCGAGCATGCACGTCGGCCATCCAACCTATGGGAGGAGCCATGAGCACCATGAGCAGAATCATCACCTCGTCGACAAGCAGAGTTTCAAGTCGTCGACAACTCGTCTACCTGTTTTGTGTGACTTTGTGCTGCTGACGTCTTCACTTTGCTTGTTGCACCGATAGCTGCTTGTGGAGAAGGATCACGATAGGTCCGATAGGTGCCAAGGCTCGGGAATAACAAAATATCTCTCAACTGGAACCTAATAGCGTCCTTGCTACTAGTAGCAATGCCCTTTGCTCCTTGTAGCGATGCCAGGAGCTAATGGTAGCTTCTTGCTACTAGTAGTTGGATATACTTTTGTTTCTTTCAGTGAAGCTGTGTTGGGTCTTCCGTACGGAACTACTTGGTTTCCGACTTGCAGGATTAGAGTGGTCTGCGCCAGCCACACTATGTCCATCTTCGCTTCCATGACTTTCGCCATGACCATCCTCAACAAAGTGTTGCTTCAAGAAAACGTCTGCAAGGTGTTCATTATGCCAATATCAAAAATTGATTTCAATGAGACCTTGAAATCTGAGAACGCTCCGTCAGGTTTGGACACACTACATTGGAGTGCAAAAATCTTGCAAGGCTTGGTGGTGAGCCCGTCACACAAAGAGAATGGCAAGTAGCCTACAAAAACCAATGAAGGTCAATGATGCAAACTCGGACCTCGGTTTCCATGGGAGCAGCTCCACCAACATAGTCGATGCTCATGTTGAAGAGGCCGTTGCCGCCCATCTGGCTCGAATGCATGATTTGAAATGTTCCCGCGTCATGAGATCTATGCTGCTGATTGGGAACATGGATAAATTTTGACTCCACCAATTTATCCAAAGTCCTCAAAACAGCGAAAACAACACAGTTTTTGAGTATCTGGCTGAGTGGTCTTCGTGGCCATGATGTTCTAAGTCAGCAAGTTGCACTGAAGAAATAAGAAAAGAAAGGGTGTTGAGGGAAGATGACTTTAGAAGAAGGAAAAAACGCAACCTGTCTAGCCATTGCCCCCATCCAAGCTCTCAGCCATAGTCTGAAGGATGGCAAACACCCATGGAAGCAATATGCCCCAAGGTCTTGGTGACAAGTTCGAAACAAACATAATGGTAGCAATATGTTATGAGTGTTGGCTTTGGTGATTTCTCAGGACAAGGCTGCTCCCAATGGCAAGTTGTTCCTCATTGCATTTGTTGGCCAAGTGTGTTTCTATATCTTAGGGGACCCTCTCAATAAAAAGCAAAGCTAGTTCAACTCAACGAATGGAAGAAAACCAATAATGTTACTGTTGATTTAAAGAACATATGGAGAGGTTTTACAGTTGAAATGGGGAGGGTTAGGGTGTGCGTGTGTGTGTCACACTCTGTATCTAAGAGTTTTCCTCGTTTTGTTCCAGCAGGGGGCCAGCGGCCGACAAGCAAACGCTGGCTAACAAAGCTATGCTTGTTCGGTGGATGCACAGTCTGATCAACTGTGTGTACCTGCGACTAACTTTTGATCAAGCTGTTCCAATCGTCCTTTTTTGATTCCATGGTGGTTCATGATACTTGCGGTTCTGCAGGTGCGCATAAACCACTTGTTCAAACATCTACAAGTTTTCAGACTTGTCACCTTACGGTTCTCTCGCCTTCCTTCCACCTGCGAACTGAGTTAACTGCAAACCAATGTCAGAGTGTGACTCGCTCAGTCGTCCCACATGGGTGCTGGGTGTGATCCTCCGCAAGGAGGCGCCGTTTTCATACCGGAACTCGTGTAACTGCTTCGACCTTATCCACCAAACCTTGGATTTTCTTAACTGTTTCAGTTTCACCACTGGATTGCCTGAACCATAAGCCGCCGGGCTTCACGGAGAATAAACCCCGACGTGTTTTCTACCCCAAACACCCCAACCCCTCCCACCCACTAATTAGGGTAACAGAGGGAAATGGTAC